TCGTGATTGTCGCATGTATTATTGGGATGAGCCTTATCTGTTCAGGATTTGTGTTGATAACATGATCCAGAGATGTATCCCCGAGATAGACCAATCTTCTATTTTGCAGGCGTGTCACGCGTCACCATATGGTGGCCATTTTGGGGGAGTAAGGACAGCTGCGGAAGTCTTGGAGTCGGGCTTCAACTAGCCGACACTGTTCAAAGATGCACACTTATTGGTGAAAGGTTATGATGAATGCCAACAAACCGGGAATATTTCCCGCCGACATGAGATGCCTATGAACCCAATTCAGGAGGTAGACGTGTTTGATGTATGGGGAATCGATTTCATGCGGCCTTTCCTCAGCTCATATGGCAACAAGTACATACTCGGCGCTGTGGACTACGTGTCCAAATGGGTGGAGGATGTATCGCTCCCTACAAATGATGCAAAGGGGGTAATTTGCTTTTTGAGAAAGAACATATTTACCCGATTTGGCACTCTAAGGGCAATAATCAGTGACAGAGGCACTCATTTTTGTAATCGAGCCTTCGCGAAGTTATTAGAAAAGTATGATGTACGCCACAAGGTTGCCACCCCTTATCATCCACAAATGAGTGGGCAAGTGGAAGTTCCGAACAGAGAGATAAAGAGCGTGTTGACAAAGACTGTGAATGCTACAAGAACGGATTGGGCAAGAAAGTTAGATGATGCACTCTGGGCCCATCATACCACTTTCAAAACTCTGATTGGCATGTTGACGTACAAATTGGAGTTTGGGAAGGCATGTCACCTACTAGTGGAGTTGGAGCATAGAGATTTGTGGGAATTGAGGCAGCTGAATCTTGATATTGAAGCTGCGGGCACAAGTAGAATCATAGAGTTACATGAGCTTGATGAGTTTTGCTACCACGCTTTTGAGAGTATAAGGATATACAAAGAAAGAATGAAGCGGATGCATGAAAAAAATATTCTCGAGCGGAGTTTTACACCCGGAGATATGGTATTGCTTTACAACTCAAGATTGCGGTTATTTCCGGGAAAATTAAAGTCAAGATGGTCAGGACCATTTCGTGTGGTAGAGATTCACCTCACTGGTGATGTAGAGATTGTTGTGGAAAATGACTCTCGCAAGTTCAGAGTCAATAGGCACAGATTAAAACATTATGTAGGCATGGATGAAGCAAAGGTAGTGTCAGTGACTCATTTGATCGCGCCACCGATGTTGAGCGTACCTTGAATGCGCTTACCTGCGCCGTGCCGCGACGTTAAATCAGGCGCTCCATGGGAGGCAACCCATTGGGTTGTTGTATTCGTCGTGCCGCAACGTTAACTAAGGCGCTCGTTGGGAGGCAACTCAATTCGTAGTTGATTTTTAGTGTAGTTAGATTTTTTTTTGTTTTTAGGTACTAACAAGTTTGCCGGTGAGTATGGGCAAGTCGAGCAGGATTTTAGCGTCACCTGACGCACCAGGCGCTAGGGCTAGCGACGCCAGGATAAAGCCAGACAAAGTTGGCGTTGAGGGTGGTGACGCCTGGCTAACGCCAGGTCCACCAGGCCTTAGGCTGGCACGCCTGGGTAACGCCAGGTCCACCAGGCCTTAGGCTAGCGACGCCTGGGTAACGCCAGGTACTGGGCCTGGCGATGCCAGGTAAGTATTTTGGCTCAGTTTAATTTTATCTCTCCCTATTTTAGTCGAATCCCCTCCCCTACACGCCCTAAACACTGAACACAATACAAAAAAAAACCCTAACCTCACTTAAACCAAACACACATCTGCTCATCAGCTTTTCTCCCAACCAAACACACTGCACGATTTGCTCACCCACACACACTCACTAGCACATTGCCATAGTTGTCTCTCCCATCCCCATTGAAGTCAAGCTTAGTCTTTCTATTCTTTCATACTCATCAGAAATTCTCAGGCGGCTCCCTCCTCTCTAAAGCTTCAAAGGTACGATTTGATCTCTTTTCTTTGTAATTTCGAGTTGGGTACATGTATACAATTACACACAAAAGTTAGTGGTTGTTCTTCATTGTAGTATTGAGTTTGTGTTCCCCAACCCCATGAACCCCACGGGAATTGTGCTGCTCTTGTAAATACATGTGGTAGTACGAAACTCTAAAGCCGATTTGGGAGGATGAGGCAATCGCTCATCTCTACAAGCACCCCCATGGCACTAGTGCTTGTTAAGTGTTTGATGTAATGCCTCAATGGCAGTCCTTGTCCCCTTTGGGGCCCGAGTCTCCGAGATTAATAAATTAGTGTTATGTAGTCATGCGCCGCGTTAAAATCTTAAGTGTGGGGTGGCTCACGGGTAGCCCATGTGTTGTTTTTTGATTCTAATATTAAGAAATTATGAGGTGAAGTCTAAGTAACCTCGAAAGTTGCGCAAGATTATGTGTGTAGTGTGTAATGCAGTTTTATCTAACTCCTACTTATTCATGTAGGAAAGAAGATGTCTCCCAGAAAAGACACAGGCAAAGGAAAGGCCACTTTAACTGCCCCAACTAAAGCAAAGGCGACCTCCGCACCTCCTCCAAAGAAGAGAAAAGGGGGAGAAGCTACCTCTAGTCTGAGTGGAGCACAAGCTGTGGAAGCTGTAGCTGCCGTATGTCCACAACCCCAAGGCCAACGGGAGTTTGGCATAAACAACATACCTCCGCATACGAGGGATTGGTAGAGGCGCTATAGGCCAAAACATGTCCATTCGGAAGCAGCCATCCAGGAACGTAGCCTGAAAGCGAAGTATCAGGCAATTTGGAGTGGCATCCAAGATTTGGGGTTAAGCTATGTTTTTAAGAACACAGGGGACATCAATCTCAACCTAGTCCGGGAATTCTACGCAGGGTTTGACCTACAGGAAACAGAGCAGCTGGTGCCAATTCGTGGACGCTTGATAGATGTTTCAGCCAAGGCTATATGCGACTTTTTAGGTGCGCCAAATGTTCCTGTGGAGCCATTGAACCAATTCATTCGCCGGCCTACATATAGAGAGCTGAGGCACACGCTTTGTGGTGTCGGCTCTACGACTGTGTGGGTTCGGGATGAGGTAACAAACCGTCACAAATGGTTCCCTAAGAAGAAGATGAAGGCGGAGGCTCAGGTGTGGCTTAAGCTGATAAACGCGCGGCTCCTACCGTGCAATTATGACACGCTCGTGAGCCGTGAGAGGACCTGTGTGCTATACTTCCATATGACAGGGCAAAGGGTGAAAGTGGGTCATCTGATCCGCTACCAGATGTCATCAGTGAGAATGAGTAAGAAAATAGACCGAATGACATTTCCTAATTTCTTGACTCAGTTTTTAAAGACGAGGGGGTTGAGGAGGAGGCTTAGTTTGACCACACCATCGATCAGCCCATCCGACAAACGGACATCACTAATCTCCGACTAAAAGACGAGACTGCTATGCCTTCATTGACAGGTGCTGAGCCAATGCGCGTGATGATATTTTTATGGCCCATCTCTATGGGATGATGGATTTGCAGCTGCGGATAGGGGGTCGCCCGGCCACATCTGAAGAGAGGACTGAATTGGAGCAGCGGTACCCGCTCAATGCTCATGCCTAGTGTAGACATATAATTTTTGACCCTCCCCGAGATTTTACACATTTTAGCGCTTAAATATTTAGTTTAGGTCTAATATTGCTATTTTAAATAATTTTGACTCTCTACTTTATTTTATCACAAAAGTAAAATTATTTTCTTTTATTTAGCTAATTGATATTTTATCTAGTTACGTTTATTTTATCTACCTTTCATAAAATTTAAAAAAATACAAAAATAATATTGATATTTTATTTTTCCAATAAAGATAAGAAGAAAAATTTTGGACTAGTTTTGTCTTATTTTTATGTAAGAAGACCATTATTTTGAGCTTGGTTTGGCCCAAACAAGACAAGCCCAACTCGGATCCTTTAGCCTATAATCCCCAAGCCCAGCTAACCCTAATAACTATTTCCTAAAACCTAAGGTAGAAAGAAGAGGGAGCATCTGCAAAACAAATAACGAACCAACCCTTTATCTCTTTAACCACAACCTACCGGAATTCCTCCATAGCCACCAGCCGCCGGAAATCCGGCCACCACCAACAGCCATCTCCCTAACCCCCATCTCCAGCCACCACTCTGACTCATCTCCCTCCTCACCACGGCCCTCTAGCCACCAGCAACTCCGCCCATACTCGCCGGAATTGGTCGCCGGCGAGTGGCTACGCCACCAGCAGTAGAACCGGCAACCACATACACTACAGACTCTCACCTCGCTCTCACTCCTCCACCTACACACAATTCACACACGAAGGCATTTTCAATTCGCTGAAACAATTTTCAAAAAGAAACCAACTAGATCTGAAAACCAAGAAAAGGTTTCTGAAAATCTGGATTTCAAAGAGGTTTTTGAGGTCGAAATTTGTTGCTTGTTGCTGAAGTTTTCCGATCCCGTGCGATTTCAGTCGAGGTTTACCGGTCCAAGGTTCAACATATATTTTGAAGTGGTTGTTCGAGTTTGCTATCGACATGGTACGGTTCCTGATTCGATAATATTGTTTAATCAAAGATTAAGAAGAGATTTCGGCTCCATTTGAGGTCCATTCTTTCCCCTCACTACTAGAAAATAGTTCTATTGCAACGGTTCAAAATCCGTTGCAATAGGTAGCAAAACCGTTGCAATAGCTCGATAGAACAGTTAAATGCCCGTCACATTAGGTCGCGTGCCAATAAGTCTACGGCAACGGTTTCGGCAACGGTTGAAATGTCGTTGCAATAGGTGTATGTACTGCCACGGTTTGGAACCGTTGCCCAAACCTATTTATTGCAACGGTTATCTTAGCAAATGGAACGGTCCCAAGCCGTTGCAAATATCATTATTGCAACGGATTTTTTTAGCTATTGCAACGGACTTTTTTAGCTATTGCAACAGTCTAGTGGTCTGTTATTACATGTATAATAAAATATTATACTGAAATTGATACAAATCACTGAAGAAACTATTAAATAACAAAGTCACAAATCAAATTATCCAACTAGTACTATTCATGCAGTATAAAGCAAAAAAGAGAATATTATTTGATAAATTCAAGAGTTACCATACATAAGTTTGCAAAAACTTCTAAAATAAAAAATTCCTAGAACATCTAAAGACCTTGCAACTGTCAACTAATAATCTTAAGGTCTTGATGCCTTTTGTCTATACCTAGTTCATTTTCTTCACCTACAAAATCATAAAAAAAAATAATCTATACCATATTCGGTTATATAACAATTAATTAAAAAAGAACTCACATGGAAAAAAAAGCAATATAAGAAATCTTAACCTAGAGTATAATTTGATCAATCTAACTATACAGTATCAAGCAAGAAGATAAGCATACAACTAGCGACTACCATCAAAGTAGTATCCATAAGTTCAATTTACAGAGTATAAGTCTCATGTGCCAATATTAACTATAGAGGAAAAGTATCATAAGAAAAAGGTCCGAACTTTATAATTTAGTAACACTAGTCAAATACAAAAGTACGAAACTTCATGAGGCAACAACCTCATATTTTACTAAAGTCAAATACAAAAAGCACGAGCAAGCAGAAACACAGTTCCTACTAACATGCACCAACAGACATCATTTTAGCTATTGTAACAAACATCTTCAACAACTCCAAGAAATAAAAATAAATCTCATTGAAAATAAAAAAAAAAATTATTGTCATACCTTATGGCCATTTCATCAATGTGCAAACCTCCTTTAATTACAGATATTTTTTCAACTTTAAAGTTTCTAGCAGTTTAAAACTTCAATCTTGATGAAACATTCACTAACTCTAGTAATATGATATTCATCAACCAAATAACACAAGGATATCTTATTTTATCTTTACTAGTGGTTCATTCTTAATTGAGATATGTTATCATGTTGGTATAATCAAAACCCAGGAAACAAATAAACAAAAATCAGCACTGGATAAATAAACTTGTCAATTGCCAAAAGTTCAAATTCCAGAAAGTTTCCAAATAAGGTAAATCATGTTGATTTACCACACAATTAAACACTCGGTGCAATTACTAGATGATTGATCCATATAAGGCAATTACCTTCAAAATCACACAAGTGTTATTACTCAACTCTCACCTTGATCTCCTTGCTTAATTGGAAAAAAAAAAAGAAAAATAAACCACTGAAGAAATATTACTGCATAAAGTTTCAATATTTAACTGCAACAATAAATACAAAAGAATATTGTAGAAAATTTCAAGCTTAACTGGAGAGGAAAAATCTAACGAAGTGCATATGAAAACTAAAAATCGGCATAATTGCACATTTAGAACTACCAGAAACCACAAAGATTTTCAACTTAACTGCACAAAGAAAATAATACTGCTACAAGTATGATTTGTTTACATTCTTAAAACTTTTTTCAATTAGAATTGATGACGCAATATAAATACTTAATGTCAGAACCTACATATTACGTGGAAGCTATCTCATGAATCATGTATATTGTATTTTCTTCTACAACAATATGAATATGTTCAGTAAACACGGCCATTACATTTGAATATCAATGAACTTTAACATACTACTAAACTAAGCCTAGAGAAAGAGAGTAGTCCCTCAAATTATATTATGACTGTACGGGTCCACACCAAGCATGCTCCAAAAGATTACGACCACCAAACTAGTCTACGAAAAAATCTTACAAAGTAATTTGGACATGAACATTTTATAATCCTTCTAAAGAACGCTAAATTACTAGTGAAATTGATTCTAAGAGGATGAATCACATATAATATTTAAAGTGGTATCAACTAACATGTCAATCAAGTCTTGTGCCTCAAAGGACATCTTTTCACGGATGGATGGCCGAGGGACTTGCTTTGTTGATAATATTACCAAAGCTAATCTATCAAGAAAGAAATAGTAATGCGTTAATGAGATAACGTCCAATACCTACTGCAGAACTATAGAGTCCATCTAGTACCTGTCAATTGAAGTCAATTCTATCCCTCACGGAATCACACGTATATACTGCAAAGTGTGAATGATTCAATTATGAACAAGGACACAATTATGGATATTTATCAACTGTATAGATGCTGTTGGACACTAAATAATCAAATTATGTGTCTCTAACTAAATTGAAAAACAAAAGTTTTGGACAGTCTGGCACGTGTACTTTATTCGACTTCGAACACACTCAATAGAAAGAGTTATTTGAAAGTTCACCATTAGAGCACTTGAAAGAGATATTTGTTCTTTCGAGAAGAGTACGTAGTTGCCGATAATTTTCTTGGCCAGCATGGAGAATGGAAGTTCAGCATTAAGTAGTTGCTTAAACTGACCATAGAAGACTCTTTCTTATTAGCAATTTCTTGATCAAGCAAAAGAGAGAATATATAAAATGATTTTGAGTCAAGCAGAGCTACTGCTTTAGAAAATGTAGAACATATACAATATTAGTTATATAATTTGAAGTTCGAAATTCATAATGAGCAAAGAGATCCCAGAGTTAGAGATCCCTTGCTCCAGGATGGCTGTATTTATAACTAACAGTTCTCTAGTACTCTTGATATGCTACTTCTTTGGCCTAGTCCCATATTAATTTCCAAAAATCAGATATATCATTCCTATGTTAAAGCAAAAGCAAAAAGTAACATTCAGCTCAAAAATTTTGAAAACAACTGAGAAGCACTTTATGAATTGACATATAATCTTAGAGCAACAAATAAAATATGATAGAGCAAACATATGTCCCTTCATGACCATTTTGTCCATAATAAATCACAGTTTCACCTACTTCACAGTTTAATACTAGTGCTAGAATTAACAATAGTGGAATATAAGCTTGCAAAAGAGGTGTATTGGTTCCATATTTTTAGTTTTCCTTTAGCATCCGATTCTTGTTTTTTGTAAACATAGAAAATGATGCATGAATTATATAGGAGAAGTTGACATGAATTTAAATAACTCAAAGAAATTGTCTATTTTACCATTAGAAATCTAGAAGCCTTGTTATCTTTTTCCTATACAAAATATGCATGACTGACAATTCAATCTTAACTGCTACACAAAGTTAAATAAACAATAAAGTTGCTTGTGCATGTAAATAGATACTTTACGCTTATAAGTCTCTATCTGTGAGAGCTTGAGATATTTAAAGGGTCTTTTGTCTACTTGACTTAAATCAATTCCTATATCATCTCGTATTTTTAGATCCATAAATTACCTGAGGTGCCTCTTCTACTAAAGGGAATCCGAACAAAAAAGAACGAAAAATGAAGATAAAAAGTAAATCTTTAGCAAAAACAAAAAGAAACAGGACATATATTCAGTTAGTTCTCTTTAGAAAAAAATAATTTACTGAATTTGATATTTGTTCTTGCTGCTATGCTATTGAGGTCCTTGCACAATATTCTGTCATTAGACTCAAAAATATTGTTCAAATGAAATAGTACGAGATATGAAACATAAGCATTTAATTCTGCCAATATCTCTGCCCTCCAACCAAAAAGGATAAAACAAACAAATTATAAAGCACTGAAAATATATGTAGCATAAATTAAAGATTTCACTTCAAAAAGTTTCCAATAAAGGTTATCAGTAATTGAAGAAACACAAAATACCTTAGACAAATGAGAAATCTAAACACCAAGCACAAGATACAAAGATCTAAAAAGTCAAAAATGACGTAGAGAAAATAACAATGAAGAATAGAGAAAAATACCTTGGTACCCTAAGTCCTAGCGACGAGGGTTTTACAGACGATCTAAGAAGCAATTCCTACTGGGTTTTCTCCATTCGTCCGGCTCTAACCAGATCCCATTGCTGTGCGTGAGGAGGAAGCTTTAGAGAAGTGGCAAGGGTGTTTTCTTGACTCGGCGTCTTCTCTATTTGCCGGATTCAGTGACTTCGGTTAGGGCTTGTGGCTAACATCAACGAGAAGAAGCTTTCGAAAGGCGTGTGCTTTGCCAGAGATATGGCCTTGCGCCCTTGCCGGAGATGTCGCCATCGCTAGAGCTATTGGGACTAGTTTGCCGGATCTTTTGGACAGTACTTTTAGGAATAGAGAACTAGGGGTTCGATGTCTTTTAGGCAAGAATTACGTTGGAAAATTAGAGGAGGTTTTAGTGTTCTTTACTTTTTTAAAAGTTCGGATGGACCTAGGCTGGGGTTAAGAAAATTATAAGAGGGAAAATAAGGAGGGAAAATGAAAAGCGTCCCAATATACTAATTTTTTCAGGGAAACCGTCGCGACAAAGAGATCTATCACAAGGGTTACCACAACCGTTGCAGAACACATCTGTGGCAACGGTTGATCAATTATCGCGACGGTTCTATTTTAGAAGTGTTTCATTAGGGCTTAAAGTCTATTGTAACGCGTATAACCGTTGCAATAGACATGCTATTGCAACAGTTGTAAACCGTTGCAAACCGTTGCAAAAAAAGCGTTGCCATAGGCTTATTTTCTGGTAGTGCCTGTTATTTTCTTTTCTCAATTTTCAAGCGTTGGTCCATGTTTATTTGTGCACCATGCTTTAGCCATTGCTTTGTGACTGGTTTTGATTTCTCCTTTTAGATCTATTTGAGCTAAATTTTTTATTAAGTTTTTAAGTATAAGCAATTTGTGAATTCTTGTCTTGTGAATACATATGGATACATAAGTCAAATGGAGATGATAGATGCTCGTAAGGAACAGTTGTGATTAAATGGGATTGGTTTGTCTTTGCTTGCTTTAATTGAAGCCGTTGTGGTATGTTTGTTGATTTAGAGGAATTAATATAGTTATTGCCTTTACCAAATTAATTGTTGAGTTTGATTTCCAGTGCTAGCATGTCAAACTAAAATGAGGCTATTACACTTCGATCTTATTGACTTTGGAACAGTAAGTTGATGTAACGACCCAACCGGTCATTTTGAGCTTTTGCACTTTGATCGCCCGTTCTCGGGCATGACTTGCCCCGTGTTATGTATTATGACCAATGTAGATCGTTGGTTTTGGGTTTCAGGAAAATTTGGAATGAATTGGAAAGAACAGTTTCAGTAGAAAGCTTTGAATTTGAAAGGTTTGATCAAGAGTTGACTTATTTGTATATGAGCTCGGATCGGAGTTTTTATGATTGGGTTAGCTTCGTTAGGTGATTTGTGACTTAGGAGCGTGATCGGAATTTGGTCTTTGGAAGTCCGGTATAGAATTAGGCTTGAATTGGCGAAGTTAGTATTTTGACGATTTCCGGTTGTTAGGTGAGATTTTGATCCGAGGGTTGGAATGGAATTCCGAGAGTTTCCGTAGCTTCGTCATGTGATTTGGGATGTGTGTGCAAAATTTCAGGTCATTCGGAGGTGTTTTGGTTGGATTTTTTATCGAATGCGTGTTTCGGAAGTTTTTGGAAAACTTAGGCTTGAATCCGATGTAATTTGATAGTTTTGGTGTTGATTGTGGGGTTTTGATGATTGGAGCGAGTTTGAATGATGTTTTAGGATGGGTTGGCACTGTTGGTTGAGGTCCGGGGGGACTCGGAGTGATTTCGGATGGCCATCGGGATGAATTTTGGACTTATGAGATTGCTGGTATATCTGGTTTCTGGTATTTCCGCATCTGCGGAAAAGGAACCGCAGATGCGGTTACGCAGGTGCGGAAGGGAGGTTCGCAGGTGCGGTTATTTGGCTTGGATGGATGACTCCGCAGATGCGGTAGAAGAGTCGCAGAAGCGAAAGGTGTGGCCATGGTATTTTCCGCAGAAGCGGACAACGATCCGCAAAAGCGGTGTCCGCAAATGCGGATAGCTAACCGCAGAAGCGGTCGTAGGCTTAGTGAAGATCCGCAGAAGCGGAGGTAGAACCGCAGAAGCGGTAGTCGCAAATGCGGTAGGGCAACCGCAGATGCGAAAATGTCTGTTCAGATAAGGAATTTTAAAGCTCATTTTGTTCCGCGAGCTAAGGGTTATTTTCACCATTTTTGATCGACCTTGAGAGCTTTGGACGGAAATTGAAGGGGATTTCGACTAGGTGTGATTGGAGGTGAGTTCTATGACCTAAATTCATGATTTAATGGAAGAATTAACCTAGAAATTCATGGAAATTCATCAAAAAGGGAGAAAAGCTAGGGCTTGAAAATTGGTATTTTAAAATGGGATTTGATGGGTCATTTGGGCTCGGATTTGGGAGTTCTTGGTATGTATAGACTCGTGGCGAGATAAGGAATCCGATGATGTTAAATTTTCTGATGTTCGAGAAGTGGGCCCGGGGCTCGGGTTTTGCAAATTTCGTGAATTTCGATATTTTTCGAGTCTTTTCGATTGGATTATGTTCCCTTAGCCTATTGTAACGTATTCGTTGTGGTTTTGATAAGATTCGACGTGCGAGGAGGCCGATTTGAGAGGCAAGGGCATAGCAAGCTAGAGTTTGGCCGGCGTGAGGTAAGTAATGATTGTAAATATTGTCCTGAGGGTTTGAAACCCCGGATTACACATCGTTGTATTACTTTGAGGTGACGTACACGCTAGATGACGATCGTGGGGTAGAGAACCGCTGGGGATTGTGACCTAGTCCATCCCAAACGATTATTTTAATGCGCACTTGATAGTTAATTGTTTGATACTATTATATCTAGGGATGTATACCATGTTTGGAGCCTTGTGCCGACTTGTTGAGACCCTTAGGGGCATTTGTACTATCTTTTCTCATTCTACTTGTTTGATAGCATATACTCAGTCTGGTTTTACCTGTTTATTACTCAAATCTGGCTTTATCGCTATATTCTTAAACATGTGGAAACTGTTTTGGGCTGAGCTCCCTGTTTTACTGATGGTCCGAGTGATCGTGAGATGATGATTGAGATAGACCGAGGGTTTGATTGTGAGATTGATGATTTAGGTAGACTGAGAGTCTGATGGTGAGGTTAATGACTGAGAGAGGCTGAGGGCCTAGTTGTGAGGATTATATATCTATGGATCGGGCTGCACGCCGCAACAATGTGTGTGTGTGTGTGTGTGTATATATATATATATATATATATATATATGAATATGGATCGGGCTGCACGCCGCAGCAATATTGCGCTTGGGCCATAAGGGGCCCCTCCCGGAGTTTGCACACCCCCAGTGAGCGCCATCGACGAAATATATGGATCGGGCTGCACGCCGCAGCGATATATAGATCGGGCTGCACGCTGCAGTGGTTACTATATGGTACCTATTGAGCGTGAATGCATAGTACGAGTTCTTATTGGTAAGAATTGAGTCACGAGTGACAGAGAGGCTAGCCCGAGGGGCGATAATTATATACATGCATATGAGTGATGTTTGCCTGAGAGGCCTGTTTATGCACTTATTGATTTCACTCCCCTTTAAAGTGAGTTTCTATCGAATATGTTGATTTATCGACTGTTTTCACTCATCTTTATATTGAGCGTCTGTCGGAAAGTTGAACAAATGTTTTAAAACAACCTTCATTTAAACTGGGGTTTATGAGTTGTTCAGAAATTAATCACTGATTTGGCATTTGGTTATTTTTACCGAGATTTTTAAATTATGAAGTGTTTATGATTACTATTTTGTCCGAGGGGCTGTTTTACGAACTTTGTTTTGCCCGAGGGGCCGATTATGGCTTTAATTGCTATTATTCTTTTAAATGGTATTGAACCCCTACTGAAACTGCCGGAAGGTATTTCAAAATGATTTTTACTAAAAGTTGAATTTTAAAAGGGAAGGTTGACTCGTATTATGATTTGAAAGCCTGTTGTGTTTATTGAGCCTAACGTGAATGTGGATTCATTGTTTCCTACTGCTCAGTCTTTATTTACTCTTATTACTTACTGGGTTGGAGTACTCACTTTACTTCCTGCAGCTCGCGTGTAGATGTAGGTATTTGTTTCCTCCGTAGCGGGTTTTGAGCTGATCGGAGGCTTAGTTATCGGAGTTTAGCAAAGTGACTGCCAGCATTCGCAGCACCGCATTTCTTCCTTTTGTTTATCAGTCCTATTTTGTATATTTCAGACTTCGCAGTCGTATTCATACTTTAATAGATGCTCGTGACTTGTGACACCCCGATTTGGGTTGTGTCGGGAGGGTTCTACTATTATTATCTATGTTTCTGCGAATTTATTGTTATTTAATCATGCTTCATAATTGCTTAATGGTAAATAACTGCTTAAAAGAGGTGTTCTGTATTGGTCTGGCTGGCCTTGTCTTCACGAGAGGCGCCATCACGACCGAGTTCGGGAATTGGGTCGTGACAAGTTGGTATTAGAGCCTAGGTTACTAGGTCTCACGAGTCATGAGCAGGTTTAGTAGAGTCTCGCAGATCGGTACGGAGACGTCTGTATTTATCCTCGAGAGGCTGCAGAACCTTTAGGAAAACTTCATTTTCTTGAATTCTTATCGTGCGTTCTCAGCTTGAAAAGTAACTATTGAAATTCCTTCCACGGGTTTGTATCCGCGCATGAGCGCTCAGTATCAGATGTGCCTTGATGGCTTGTGATTCCCCGATCAAGGGGCGAGATATGATCTCTGTGAGCTTGATGTTGGGCCAGTTTGGAGGACTTGAGGTCGGACCTTTGCCTATGGCTTGAGCACCAACGTGCTGATTGTGTGAATAAGTGTTTTGAACTTATATGTTCGGTATTGTCCTTATTAGTGGAAGTGATGGTTGGGTAGCTATGTAAAGAGTGTATTAGTACTGCGAGATGTATCTATATGACTCGGAAATGACGAGAAAGGTCTGCTGGATGGTAGATGAACTATTAAGTCCATGATTTCCATTGTGATCGGATGTGTAGCTCCGAGTTATGGGCGCGTGAAGAAATATTCCGTGTCTCCAAGTTGGGAGTGAAGTAGATTTTATGTTGCGTTACGAGATCAGACTCAGGAAGATTAAGTGGCTGCGTAATATGTATGGCGGTGGAAGGTATACAGAAAGGTTATACTGAAGCGAAGCAGGTGGGTATCTCCTGCGAAGTGCTCTGAAGTGGTGTGATCCTTATGTGTATATTAGGAGATTTCATGTGCAAGTGAAAAGTATGTGTTGAAATTTGGAATTTTGGGTCGCTTAAGAGAGTGGGCTTAACTGTTGCGGGAATGAATGCGAGAATTGCAGAAGAGTTGCAGTACGGGATGATCTGTGTTTTCACAACTTATAAATGACTTGAGTT